ATTGCTTTCTTGTAGATTATGAATATCTCTAGCAATTTATCTCTGTCGGTGTTAATAATTCGTCAAAAATAAATGCCTACACGTTTCTATGCAAATAATGTTAATACTCACCGATGCAATCTTTAGCTTTCTCAATACACGTAGAATTGGTTTTCACTGTAAAAGATTTTCACGCCCCTTTCCATTGGGCATTAGATTAATCCCATATTTGATAACTTAAACAATAAAACAAAAGAACAGTCCACGTAAAAATAACGTTTCACGACGCTATATCAATTTAAGTCTTCAAATGAATACAGAAACCTTTTTTTGCAATTGACGTAAATAATAATAGTAAATTTTAAAAATACCCTCATATGTCACATAATTTATCTTTTTAAACAAGTAATAATCATAAATATTAAAAAGTAGATCTTAAAATAGCCTATTACTAATCGCGTGGTATGTAGCTATTTTACTTTTTAACTTTGTATGTAATGTGAGTACAGAAGTGTCGAAAAGCGAATGTTGATGCAACGCCCACGTATTCACCAAATATGGCGCTGCGAATGCTGACAGCTATCACCAATTATGATCGGTAATGCTCCAGTACTACAATGTCAACAGGACGAGTACTGGTATTGCCTTTTTAATTTTTTATGGTATTTTCCATTAATTTAATAAAGCTATTAAACGCTGCGATATTTTTCTCGATGTATTGAGAATCGTTTATTTTGTACGATTTAATTGCACCCTCATATTAGTTAATTGTTCCCTAAGGTTTCTTATCTGTTTATTATTTTTACAAGACGATGTGGCACACTCAGGGTTAGGCCCTTATTATTTCGCCTCGCCGCTCACTGAGGGTTTTTGTCTGCATTCCATTGCATACCGTTTAGAAGGGCATGCCCACGCACTGCCCTGCTACAATTATTATAAGCAACGCCCAGTATCGATAAGAGATTAAAGTAAATTACGTAAAAATATAACCGTGACTACATTGTCAATCATACAAAATATGTCAACCTCTTTTTTGTCTTTAAAGAAACTGAGATAGTCGACAACATTTTCAAGTTTTGGTGCTTCGGAAGTAAAAAACCACTAATGCATTAAAGCAATAAAAATTAAAACAATTGCTATTAAAAAAACAAAAGTAGAATACAAATTCGTTGACACAAATCCTAACCTTTTTTGTATCCAAATCATCAGCAAGGAATGCGGTAGTCAATTTAATGTTACATACTCAGAACTAGCTTCAATGAAGCTTTGTTACTGGCAGCATAGTAATGGCGGTTGGAAAAAAATAGAAAATTAAATGTCAGTTTAAAAATGACAATCGCGAGGGTAACTAGTCTACGAATGTGACGGTGGGCAGGTCCGGAAACCTGGCTTCCTGCTCTGTAACCTTCAAGGGACCTTCGGACCTTGAGCCGTTCACTTTGCAGCTTTAATTGGACTTTTATTTCTAATGAATTATAAATGAAATCAAATAGTCTATTGTCTTTTTATGCCATACATTGCCATACCTGCATAATTGAAAAACATTTTTTATATTACTACCAATAACAACTGGGCAAACTAACTTTATTACAGTTGACTTTAGAGCAATTAGTCTCGAAATATATCTTATATTATGACTGTCTAGACCTCTAACATTGTTTGTGAAATGATTAACTTAAGTTTAAGCTAGAATGTGGGGCAGAATTTTAACAACATGTTAAAACGCATGTCATAAATTAGTTTACGTAAAACGAAAACTGAAAATTCAAGGGCAAATAGCATTTCTCAGTATTGTAACCGCGTGCTTGATCTTATCAAGAATTTTGTAACTTAACGCTCAAGCACTGACTTAGTTATACTTAAGCAAGCGTAGAAATTAAATATTGTGACTTGTTTCATAATTGCCGAAAGACAATGAGCTATATTTACGATTTATTAACATTTGTCTTATTAATTGCTAACTAAGTAAAATGTTGCTTAATTAACTTGACCTAGTCTACATGCTAATAAAAAATACGCCCGAAAATATAAAATTGCTTCATTCATTAACGACAATAATTATGAACAGTGATAACGATTGCTTTATGCTTTTTCTGACCTAATGTCAATCACAAAAGAGGTTTTTAGGAAATCAATAACCTTTTTTGTACATAAACTTCTATAAACTATGAATTATAATAATATCACATAATTTTTGTTATTAATTCTTATAATGTATAAAAAAGGAGTATAACTATGTAAGATTCAACATTAAACACCTTGACGCCTCGGTATTATTAAGTAAAGTGATACATTTCAAGTAATAAATATATTACTTAATGACTCGATTACACCGACCGGTCTGACCCGGGGCTCGCGACCGCAGCGGGCCCTGACATCGTTACGTGAGTCTGAACTTAGGTCCGCAAATACCATACTTATATCATCTTAAAGTGATCTACATAAATATTATTCGATATTTGGGACACGGTAAACGACTTTGATTATTCCTATATATAACAAACTACTTCATACTTAATGCGGAAGTTTGAATGATTGGATCGCTTACGTATCTCTCCAAAAGAGCGCATAAAACATAGTCTGAAAGAACACCATTTCTAAGTTATATTTTAAATTCGGGCGTACGAAGTCGCTGGAAAAAGCTACTCCTGTCATATATCCGGAATTTACACCGTGGAAAAACAAAGGGTATTAAAATTATTCACTCGGAAAAGCATTTTGATTCAAATTCATAAATTTTGATGTAACAAATTTTTTCAAGTCATTTGTGATACCTAATCGTTCATGTACTAAGAGTGTCTTAATATAACTACAGCAAACATTCTTGTTTGCAGTTTGTTACAATCACATTAAATTTAATTTAATACTAATGTAATAAATACGTTATAGCTGTTATCGCCTTTTTATTCTTTGATATAATTTAATGATTTATAATCAGACGACGTATTTAAGCATGCCTGGCATTTGTAAATGGATGTAATAATTTCTAACTGCTATAAGTAAATAACTGTAAAAAAGTTTTTTTTTACATTACATTGTTTCTGTTATTTTTCTTAATTATTTAACTGCCATCAACCATCAGTGCTGTGCTGTCAATGTTTAATGACTGTGATAAGACAGAAGCAGAGTAAAGACAATTACGACCAGTAGTAACTTTTAATGATAACTTGTTAATGAAGGACAAAATCGGTTGAGTTAAAAGCAATCCCGTTAGCAATGAACGCGAGGTCATTCCACTTAACTATTTAAGTAGTTATTCGACGTTTGATAATATAATTAATATTATATTGTATTTTGCCAACAGATCGTAGTAGCTTGCTTGGCGTTGGCGTGCGGCGCTCACGCGTCTGGCTGGGCCGGCCCGCCCGCCAACATCGCCCTGTCACAGGACGGCCGTAACATCCTCGACACACCTGAGGTGGCGCAGGCCCGTGCCGCGCACATAGCCGCCTTACAACAGGCGTCACAGAACAACCCCAACCCACAAGACGACGGCTCCTACGACCCCAGATGGGACAATGAGGAGTACTGGCAGGGTGAGCAGCAGCGTAGCTGGAACGGCGCCCCCGCCGCTTCCTGGAACAGCGCTCCCGCCTCCTCATGGAACGGTGCTCCCGCTCACCAGTGGAACGCCGCCCCCGCCGCTCCCGCGTGGAACGCCGGTGCGCCCGCGCCCGTAGCTGAGACCCCCGAGGTGGCCCAGGCCCGCGCCGCTCACCTCGCCGCCCTCTCCGCCGCCAAGCCCGCCGGTCAGCAGTGGAACGCCCCTGCCAACAACCAGTGGAACGCCCCCGCCCACAACCAGTGGAACGGTGCCCCCTCCTGGCAAGGACCTCCCGCTCAGATCAGACTGGCTCAGAACGGCAACGGCATCCTGGAGACCCCTGAGGTAGCCGCCGCGCGTGCCGCCCACCTCGCCGCCCACGCGCAGGCCGGACACGGCGCCCCCTCTCACGCGCCCCAGCAGCACTGGTGAAACCTCACTCCTCTTCCTTCTTCCCTTTCCCGGGCTCACTGGACGCGGCTCTAGGCCGTCGCTCACGGAGACAGCTAGTCAGTGACGCACTAGAATTACGTCGAGGTGCCCGTCTACGTCCTTACTTCGATCTCCTCTTCGTTTAGAAACTATTTAAAGTGCAAGTGCGTCAGCCTATTCTTTCTCTTCGGCTTTTTTGTTACTTTTATAAATTTCAATCGAACAAACAATTTTGTACATAATAATTATTATTGTATGTATGCATTATATACGAATTATATAAAATCGAAAACCATATTTTGTTTCTTTTGAATACCTCGCAATATTACATACGTAGAGTGGCATTACGAGCGCTGGCTCGTAAAAAAACAGCAATATTGATTAGTAAAGAATGATACCAACTATGTAAGCACAATACTAGCATTTTCTTCGTAATTGTATTTTTTATGCCCAGTAGAAGCAATTATCATAAATATAAATACAATTATATAAATATGAAAACACGTTAATTACGTATGACAGCTAACTTAATTAGAAATAACACACCAAAGCCGTGTCGTGACATGATATGGCAGTCATGACGAAAACATTTGATAACTACGAGTATATAATAACAAATACTGCTCGTTAACTTAAACTGGCTAAGCGACAGGCATTTATAAAGCAACGTGTGTTAGTAACTCCCTAATATTTGAGCTTCTCAAGCGATTATTTTATTTTGTACAGAATATTTTTTAATATCAACCATCACAGTAGCATTATCGGTATTTCCGTCCGAGGTAAAAAGTAAAATTGATTCGCAATAGGTATCTGAAGTTTTTGTCATTAGAATTTTTTATGCAAAATACTTGCAAAAAGTAAGTTTGCGATTAAGTAAAACCCTGTCACATTTAGAATCCACTATAAAATGTACTATCAACCGTAATTGAGTTAAAGCACGTTATTTGTATACTAAAATGTTAAATAAGATGAAATACAGAGAATTTTGCGAATATTACAAAATAACTAGAATTTAATTATACAAATTAATAGTTGACGTATTACAGTTAGTGTTCTAGTGGTGGAAAATGTATAATTTCGTGATCAAACAGTAGAGGCGGCGTTGGTGCGATCTATCATTATAGATTAGGGCAATCAGTCGATCGCTAGTAAAACATTGGCCGTGCTGAATTACCTTCCGGAGCAACAATTTGTAAAACCTCAATCACTTTGTCGTTAGTTATGCTTCGCGCTTTGTTATACGTTGCTTATGGACTCATTGTAAACTAACATATTCGATTCGATTCTTATTTTAGAACAATGTACAAGAGCAATGAAATTGAAATACGTCCTCGAAAAGCAACATCACAGGCAGCGTTCAGAAAGGTAACTTTTCTTTGTTACGTCTAGTGTATAATTTAAAAAACCAACGCAGACGCGAATTAATAGAAGCGACAAACTCAAAGTTAAATGACATAACCGCTTTAAGTATTAGCAAATGTAAAATCAGAAGTAAGGAAACATGAATAAAATAATTTTAATCACACATTCGCGTTTTAGGATAATTATTGGATGAACCAGACACAAGTGGAAACATCACCGTGGTACGAATGGGACACGAAAGTTTTTAACAGCCATGTAAGTTTTTATACAACTATTGACTGTTGGAATATTATCTTTGGACTATTTATGTATTCATCTTTAAACATTTGGTAGGATAAACCACCTCAACTATCGGGCTACGAGTCGTTCAATAAGGATCTCCGAGATTACTTACAAACGTCAACACTTCACGGTCTACGATACATCGGCGAAAGAAAACTGACGTGGTTTGAAAGGTTTAGAAGAATCCAATGAGTTCTGTGTTTGATTAAAAAAACATTTAATCTAAACTAATGTATTTTAAATCAAACACAGAACTTAAAGCACAGCGTTAGGTTATCACAACCAAATTAGTACTTTTTTCAATTTAAATTAGTACCTTTTTCATGCTGTTTTTTGATTTTTTTATCAGATTTTTCTGGTTAGCCGCGTTCTGTTGTTCTGTAATATGCGCTGCATTCTTTATCCTCAACGTGTACCACAAATGGCGTTCATCTCCTATGATCGTGAGCATCAACCCTCAGAACATGCACCTGCAAGACCTGCCTTTCCCCGCGCTCACAATCTGTAATGTCAACCAGGCGAAGAAGTCTGTAGCAGAACGGTATATTAGCACCGGGTTTGTAATCGTGTCGTAAAAGAATAATTATTGTCTTTTCATTGTTTTTTACAACACACAAAGTTCAACATTCGTAATTACCGTTAACCATTCCAGAAGTTCGTTGGACAAAAAACTGTTGAACAGTTTATGTGCCACCCAAAGAGATGCAGACATATTTGAAGATGATATAGCTGAAAGTGCCAATTGGGACTACACAAGATCATTTCTTATCAATGTTAGTAATTTACAAGTAAACACTCACAAGTCTTCGTGTTTTTACACACTTTTACTTTCATTGTTCTCTAAAATTCATGTTTTTTTTATAATATCAGTAGATTTCTGTTATTCTACTAATATTTCCTTTAACCATACCAACTAAGCTCTAGGCTTGTGCTAGATATGGTTCACAACAATAGTCGAATGGCGGGATTCGAACCCTCGACCTCAAGTAGACCGTACCTCAAACCATTAGGCTATTGGTGCTAATTGGTTTTAGATCAGCTTAGTAGACAGAACTACTAAGAAGTACTTGATATAGACGTAAGCCCCACATATCATATTCTCAGGTAACTCAACCGTGCAACGAAATGCTAGCGATGTGTCTATGGGACTCGCGTAGTATGAACTGCCAGGACCTGTTCAATGCCCAACTCACCGATGAAGGTCTGTGCTGCACCTTCAACGTCGTGCATCGTGACAACATGTTCAGAAATCCGTATGTAGAATCATTAAATACTTTCAAAACATCATTTTCCTACGAGGGAAATAATTTCGGATTTCCAAATCGAACTATATTTGACCATTTTAGACGTCTCATCCTACCTAGTCATGTCAACGCAACAATACTTTTTCCTTTACAGAAGAGACCTGAACGATTTGAACTTAACATTTCCGTTGCCGTCAGTGGACTGGACTCCGGAGGGCGGTTATCCGGCTGACGCGCCACCTGACGGATTCCCTTGGAAGCCTAAAGGTATATAAAATTCATATACATTTTTCAATCCATTAAAATTTTTAAATAAAAGTAACCACACTCAAATAACGAGATATGCGTTATTTTTTTTTTTTCATTTTTGTCCGCTTTCCTATAACGTTATTAGACTTAGGTATCACATTACTGTACTACCATAGTAATTTTATCTTTGTCCCTAGGTATAGGCACCAATCATGGCTTGACCCTAATCTTGGATGCAAACATCGCTGAATATTACTGTGCGTCCACAAAGAGCATGGGATTTAAGGTTAGGTATTTAACAAAGTGTGAATTTCTTAGTAGGTAATTAATCGAGAGAACTGCATTGTCACCTATTCAGTAAAAAATCTTTCGATACATTTTTTTCATATATTAAAAGACTTCCTACGATTATAATTGTCCTTAATTGTTATAAGTGAATTTAAAAATGATAATAAAATATTTCAGATACTTCTCCACAATCCGACGGAAACTCCGAATATTGCAAAAATAGGTGAAATCTATGGTCCAGGAATAGAAGCGCGTGTCGCCATACAGCCGAGAATTTTAGACGCGCAATCTTCCTTAAAAGATATCGATGTTAAGAAAAGACTTTGTTTATTCTCAAGCGAAAAGGAATTAGTTTTTTACAGGTAACGTTCCAATTTTCGTTTCAAACAATGTCACGAAAAAGGACATCAATGTAAACGGCTTTAAAGCAAAAACATAAACATGTTTTTTTCCGAATAAAGGTTATCAAGTTTTCCATTTTCAATATAAAACCATACCAGAGATAATTGTTATGTTTTTTTAGAACTTACACTTTACGGAACTGCGAGATGGAATGCGAAGCCAGATCCATGTTGGATAGATGCAAATGTGTCCTTTATTATATGCCCAGTAAGTGCAACTTTTCCTTAAATAAGCATACAACTCATAAGAGTTAGAACGAGAAATGCTTTTATTTTTAAAACAGAGATTCTTCTGAAAAGGATACTTGCCATGCCAATAACTATGTTGTTTCAGAAAACAAGTCAACACGCATTTGCGGGAAAGCCGACGCCAAATGTTATTCAAATGTTAAACTGACAGCACAGAGTGGTAAAAAAATTGCATTTTAAATTTTTTTTCTAACAATAACACACACAAAAAATAACTATAAAAAGCCTTTTACTTTCTTTGCCATTCATTAAAACCGCAAGTTGTCGATTTGAAATTTATGGTCGGTAAGAAAGAATTGTCAGTGAAGGTAGAAATAAAAAGTGAATTAAAAATACTCTTCCAATTACCAGCAGAAACAGCTAATATGTGATGACGGCTAAGACTTATTCCCGGTCTACATTTGGCCAGTATACTTGGACAGTTGCGACGGCCAGTTATAAATCACACCATGTAGTGCCCACACCACGCTAGTATATTACCAGTCCAATTATTGAGAACTACTGACCATTATGAATTGTAGATAGTGAGGCTTCGTGTGACGAGTGTCTACCCGCCTGCAACGAAATAGCTTACTTCGAGCGGCTAAGCACCGCACCACTCAACAAAGCGCTTATTGGACAATACTCTACAATACTATTGAACAGGACTCCAGATTACTTCACGTAACTATTAAAATATTTATTAAAATACTCTGGGTGATGTACTCTCATTTTTGGTGTCGATAAATTTTACTAATATATATGGAAGTCAAATAAATACCTTTTTTTTTCAAAATTTATCACTAGTGGGGTTTTATAATTATTATTTTTATTTCAGAGAAAACATGCTATTAGTTCACTTTTATTTTGAAGACAACACATTTATGAGATTTACGAAAGGTGAAATATTTGGTCTTACGGAATTTCTATGTAAGTATTACTAAAATAATGTGTAATTCATGATCATATAAAATAGAAACCAAAAACCAATAAGAGATATAACCCTTAGTAAGAATTACATGAAAATTTATATGTTCTTACAGCCAATACTGGAGGTTTACTGGGCTTATGCATGGGTTTCAGTATAATGAGTGTTGTCGAACTACTCTATTTTTTAACCCTACGTGCGTTCTGCATGGCGAGAAGAAGAAAACCAACGCATCCTTTCTTAAAATAAACTTTAATTTTATGTGTTTTGGTGAGATACGTAGATGCTGATAAAGCAATTGTGACGTTATATCAAAAAACTTATTTAAGTCAACCTTATGTGAACACTAGCAGTGCAACACAATATTTTGCTGGCAACATGGGACAAAAGCAAATAAGTCTTGATATTTCTGCACTAACAAAATTTGTTTTTTCAGATATTTGACCATATTTAAGGAAATAATGTGTGTGATTGTTAATATTTACACAATAATGTTTGGAAATAAAAAAGGCTTACCATATTTACAAAATTGTATTACAAGTGGTATAATTTTTAAATCTAACTTAATTCCTATGAGATATAGAATTACCATTAAAAAGTATGTTTTAAGTTAAACTACAAACTTACTCATATCCAAAACAATTATTCTGTCATGACTATTGTATTCTTTACGTTTTTACTTTTCCTCCCTATGCATAGGCTGTAATTGTAGCTGATTTTGATAATCACTGAGAGGAACTCTTTTATTACAGTTTCTATTGATATGAAGGGATGTGAGTCTAAAAAACGCCTTACCAAATCAATAATGGTACAAGGTAAATTTGGCTAATCACTTTGAAGTCTTAATAGTTAGTCAATATGATTGTGAAGACCAGCACAATATTTTTAGTTAGAGTGGGTGCACATTTTTGACTAAAATAGTGCAAATGTCAATTGTTTCACAGCCCATTCAACCGTTTAGTTGCACAACTAAAAATCGAGTAGTGTGTGCACCTCCATGTAAGCACATAGGAATCAAAGCGAGACTGAACAGTTGTACAATAGTTTAGTTTCAGTTGTGTACACTATTAGACTTTACATTATTTGGACATTGTCTAATTATTATAATAAACAACATAATGTACTTTATCATGATTGTTGTCTTGGTGGTTGTGGGGCTGCAGGGGGCGCTGGCGGTGCTGGAGCATCTGGTGGCTGCAGTGTTCGTGTCCGCCGCCGTGTATAATGTTGCCAGAGTAATATTGCTTGATCATCCATGAACTTGCAAACCTTTAAATTAAATTTAATTGATATAACAATAATATATCTTAGTAATATTAAAAATATGAAAGCTTAGATGGATAGATGTTTGCTTGAAAGTATTTTCAGAATGCATTAATTAATCTCAAAGAAATTAGGTATACATGAAGAGTATAGTCTGGAGAAGTACTTAAACTACTGTTTAAAATCTTTTTTATTTCAAACGGACAGTGTTGCAGACAACAGCCAGTTTTAACTAAACCTGTGTCAATTTTCATGGAGATTCGTTCAGCCGTTTAGGCTACAAACGCTAACAGACACCCATCTCTCCATCGTCACTTTCTCATTTATAATACTTATATGATTAAATTATAAAGTCGTTAATAAATGAATATATTAATTTTATGCATTGACATACATGTGTAGGAAATTTGATATTTAATTTAAAAAATGCACGGAAGTAAAGATACAATCTATTACTAATTTATTTTCAGACATTTACCAATACTATAAAAATGCTTACCTGAGCTGACACACATTCTCTTCTAAAGGCCTCATGTTGCAATAGTTCTAGAAAATGCAGACACATTGGATACTTGAGATAGCGAGCATATTCAGGCTCCCGCCAGTACTGCAAGTACCGTAAATAGTTTACAAATGTTTGCTCTTTCATATACCCTCTTTGTGCTAAAACTGAAAATAAGAAATTAAATATGTTAATTTAAATTTCAGTTGACTATTAAGTAATTAAAGGACAAAGGGAAACCCCCTTATAAGTATGCTATACTTTAAAACCTCGTCCATGTACCCTCGATTATTTATTGTAAAAAAAGTTTAACTCACAATGTATGTAATTCGGATTTGCCAAACACTGTACGAACTCCAATTCTACTTGAAATCTTATCCTGCTCTGTTCCTCTGTTTCCGCCATAACTGTAATAAATTTTTTGAACAGTAAAATGTAATGGATAATGAATCAAAGTTTTGAACCATATTGAACATAATGAACATTGCGTATACAAATTAACATTATATACTATTTTATGTACCTTTTCCAGCCATCATCTTGAATTCAAATATTTGATTTAATGTGTAATATTATTTTATGGTTCTGAAATTCTGACGATAAAAAATCCTGAAAAGAAAACAAGTCAGAGCAAATGTCAATTAGACGTGAGCGTTATTTCACGTCACTAGTTACAATCACCTGTGACGAGATATGTACGGCGTCACTAGCTTCGAGTCAAATTAAAAGTAGTGATTTTTGTAACTACTTTACTCGGGCGTGTTCGGCTCCGAAGTCGTGATTTTTGTAAATGCGTTACTCGGGCGTGTTCCGTTTTGAAGTCGTGACGTGATTTATATAATGCGTTGCTCGAGAGAGCTCGGTGTCGAATTAGTGATTTTTGTAAATGTAATACTCAGGCGTGTTCGAGTCCGAAGTCGTGATTTTTGTAAATGCGTTATTCGGGTGGGGTCGGTCGGTCAATAGGGAATATTTCTTCTACATGTTTCTACTTGTTATGAGATAGCCAGAAAAAAATATTGACTGGATAAAAATCAACAATTGAGCTAATAAAAAATAAATAAAATTGCGATCATTTTCATGCGACTAAAACGCGTTTTTTAGTAAGATAGTCTTATAGTTAGTAATCGTACGAACATAATCAAAAATGAAAATAAGCAAGGCATTAGACAGAAAGTTTAATTATTTAAAAAGGCAATACAAATGACAAATTGAAATTATTTTACATCTATTACAGAGGATTTATTTTAATAGGCTATTATTTTTCCAATGGAAATAACTAGTTACAAAAATCACTAGTTTTGAAACATGTGACGCCGAACAAATCACTAGTTTCGTTACGTTTCTCGAAAATGACGTAACGACTCACGCCTAATGTCAATTTCAAATCAATTTGTCAATGCCACTTTTGACAAATGGCAGCATTTTAAAAACTATTGTTTTCAATTTACGCATGTTTCTTCACATTGAAAAAATCTACTAAACTATCAACAATCAAAGCTTAGAACTTTAAACTGGACTTAAACATACTAAAAAGTTAACACAATAAACTTCGAATACACTCCAATAAGTTACTGTAGTGTAGTAAGTGAAAAGTGCAAAATGAAAAAAGCTACAAAAAGTGGGTGGTTGCGCTAGTTGTCATGAGTCATGTCATGTCAGCTGTCAGTTCATTGTCAGCCTACTTTTCCTATTGGTATTGGTGTTGCGTACGTAATTAATAATTACATTCCCGTCAGTCAAATTGATTCAGGAACAAAGGAAAATATTTACTTTGCCACTAATTAAAATATTTAGTATATAACAGTTTTGTGCAGTGAAAATTAATTAAAATGTCGGACCATAGGTACATTAGCAACTCGAGCAACTTGTTCGAAGACGACGATGTCGACAATGATACATTTGTGCAAAGTTATAGATCAAAATTACCTCAACCCCCGAGAAATCCCGTCAATACTCCTTATGGGGGGCACATTGCAGAACTGGAGAAACAAAGGCAAGCGATGTTACAAAGGCAGAAGGAGATTGAACAACGTACACTAGACTCGTCAATACGGAGTATTGGGCTTCTACACGACAGCGAAACGATTGGTATCGCTACAGTTGAAGAACTGTCGAGACAGCGAGAACAGCTACAGAACACAAATCGGAGATTAGATGAAATCAATACAAATCTACACTACAGTCAGAAACATCTGAATGGCATAAAATCAGTTTTCTATGGATTAAAAAATTATATATCGGGTAAATCAGATCAAACACCTCCAAGAAGTCAGGCCTCACCAGATAGTCTCAATTCGAAAGCTGGGAATAGCAGTAAATTGGATGACACTTTAGATAACACACCAAAACTGAGTGCTGAAGATCGCTTCAACAGTCATCCATCAACACGACTGAGAGGCTTAAACCAAGAACAAGCTAGTGCTCCAATTTCAGATAGCCAGCGTATCAATGAAATGTTAGATGCCAACTTAGATGAGATGGTACAGCACATCACTAGACTTAAAGGACTAGGCAGTGCTCTTGGTGAGGAAATTGACTCACAAAACAAACTCATAGATACAATACAAGACAAAGTTGAGGTTGCAGATATCAAAATTGGAAAGCAAAACAAGCAGATAAACAAAATTTTAGGAAAATAATGCTTGTTTAATATGAAGCTTAGTTAATCCACTTATTGCATATAATGTACACAAATAAATAATGTAATCATATTACATGATATAGTTAAGTATAGTGATAATTTGCAATAATTTTATACATGTATTAATTTTAGTACCATTCTGATATTTCTAAATCCTGAATATAACATCATTACCTTAATAATTTGTACTATTTTTGATCTAAGGTTATGGGTGTCAATTTCCTCATTGTTAATGAGAAATTTGAATTTCATGTGATTGAAATAAATTTGTAAAATATTTTGTCAACACATATGTTTAAAAAATAAGAGTATAATCTTAAACTACTGGTACTCTTTACAATACTTTTTAGCAAAATAGCTGTAATATTTTTCTATTAAATATCAAGGTTAAATTGAAATAGTTATGGTTACCGGGATAATTGTAATAAAAATAAAACACATATTGTGTACATTTATTAAACACAATATTCCAACTTGTTAATGTAATTATAATAAAATTTTACCAGCATTAATCACAGAGTATAATTTCACAATTTCTTTAATATACACTATTGTGTGTTTACAATATTTATGTAGATTACATGTTGATTATTGATAACAATTAACAAATGTTCCACTATCAGGTAAACTTACTGAAAATGTGTTTACATCAAAAGGTTTATCAATCACTTAACAGCACAATAACAAAGTGATTAACTTCTTCGATAGGCATTACACATTAATTCCTTTATTCCAAAATGTGTGATAATCTAACTAATATTATAAATGTGAAAGTTTGAATGAATGTTTGTTAGTTTGTAGCCTAAACTGCTGAAGGGATCTCTATGAAATTTGGCATAGACATAGGGGATAGTCTGGAAGAACACATAGGCTACTTGCTTTTGTTTTATTTTTATTCCGCGCGGACGGAGTCGCGAGCGAAAGCTAGTGTAAACATAAAAGGCAGCCTATAACTTGTTTTTAAGATTTCGTCCAACTTATTTTTTCTTACAAATCACTTTAGGTTTAAATATCAGTGATTAATTTTAATTTTTCACTTGGAATAATAATTGCATCAATGATATAGAAGTTAGGGGAAGTTTGAGAGTAGCCACAGTAGTAGAAAAGGTAATTAATCATTATGTGTAACAAGCTGTTGCCCGAGACTTCGTCCGCGTGGTATTAAAAAACATACGAACTATATAAATTACAAAAAGCTACGTATCCCTCGGGAACCGGACATTTTTCTGGGATGAAGCTTATCTCATGTGTACTCCAGACTTTGTTTTATATCTGTGCCAAATTTCAATAAGATATGTTAAACCGATGCAGAATAATCGAGTGAACATTAAAAAACTAAATTAATGAATACCACGGGAACCGTAACTATTCCCGGGATAAAAAGTAGCCTATGTGTTCTTCCAGACTATGCTCTAAACCTGTGCCAAATTTCATGGAGATCCGCTCAGCCGTTTGGGCTACAAACGCTAACAAACATCCATCCATCCATCTAAACTTTCGCATTTATAATATTAGTAAGATTGCTAAAGTTAAAAGACAAAAGCAATGTAAAAACCTAATACATATTGAATATAGATTTTTTTATTAGTAGGTAGTTATGAAATACTTTTTGATAAACATGTTTCAATTAGTCATTATGTTATCAAATAATAGTATGAGTTATATTTCCCGAGTAAAAAACCCCCATCTCATATCACTAAAGAAACATTGCATGTTGATTACTCATGACAATTTAATTAAAGTTTAAAGCATAGGAACAATTGTTTATTTTTAAGGCATTTTTGAGAGCAATAATAACTTTTGATCACTGTTAATATACTTGTTTATATGTAAAATCCTATTCTGAAAATAAAACTAAATCATGCAATAATCTCAATTTTTCCATAGCATTATAATAAAAAAGCTTAAACATTATTCGCTGGTTATTCACTTAATTCAATCATTAAAGAAATCAACAACAGTTTCTAGGATAAGATCATCATTAACATAGTGCACTTTCATATGCTTCTGCAATACTCTCTTATTAATGAACTTTTTGCCACAGATTTCACAGCTTGTATCCACATTTGAGTGGGACTCTTTGTGTACCCTTAAACCAGATGTTGTTGGAAAACCTTTAGAACATATGTCACACTTGTAGGGTCTCTCAGATGAATGTGTATGTGCAATATGAACTTTTAAGGACTGTTTTGTTGGAAAACTTCTATTGCATTCATTGAATAAACATTTAAAAGGCCGTGGGCGCTCTTGGCCAGAATGAACCAAGCTATGAACTCTCAAGTAAGATGCTCGAGTATATGTTTTTGGGCATTCAGGGCATGGATAATCTTTTACCCCATTATGTATTTTGATATGCTTCATTAAACTGGATTTAGCACTAAATTTCTTATCGCATATAACACAAACAAATAACTTATTATTGCTTGAATGGGCAACTCGAAAATGTCCCTTTAAAGACTGTCGCGATCTATAAGTCTTATTGCAAAAACCACATTTGAATTGTGGAACTTCTTTATGAGACAATAAGTGCTGGCTTAAGCCATTTGCTGTGTGAAATCGTTTGCCACATTTTGGGCATAGGAATCTAAGTACGCCCCTGTGCTTGGCCATATGATAACGTAACCCGTAAATTCTGGTAAATGATTTAGTGCACAAAGTGCAAGAATATTTTTTATCGCTTTCTTGTCGCGGTGGATGCTCCGTCGATGTTATTTCAGTGACCGGAGGTAAAGGTGTTAATTCCTTGTTAACTGAAACATTTTCAAAGTCAAGGACTGGGTGGTTGGTAAATAGTGGCGTATCGTACTCATGGTCTTGATATACAACATTTATATCAATAGAGTCCATGTCAGAACGCGGTAAGCTGGAAGTGCTACTTTGTACATTAAACACTTGAGATAAGGTAATGTTCGCTTTTAAACAATTTATTTTAAAGTTGTAAGACAGCATAGCTGTACAAACACATGATGGACACATTCCTTGAGGCCAATTTTCCTCATCGTTATTCTGAAACAAAATGAAAATCGACGTTAATAATTTTCATTGTATTAATAAGACTATTTTAATAGTAATTTTCCAGTGTCAATAAGTTTTTGAATACTCACCTCTACGCAATTTAAAAAGATTAATATATCTATTAGTTTTATTTTGTTCATCTCATGTTCAATTAAATCGTGTACACTCATGAACGTGGAGGAATCTGATTCAGCAAGACAAGTTCGGCAAATATTCTGGGGTAAAATTAATGTTGATAGCTCCATTTTGAAAAACATTTAACAATATAATCTTAAATAATAAAGCACAGGAAAGAAGTTTTCATTTTAAAGTAAAACGTAATATAGTTTTAATTCTCATTTCGTCTTTCGTCACATATTTTTATTTCATACAAAGAAAGACCACAGACAAAGACCTATCTAAGACCATAGCTAAAAACTCAACCATATATTATCATAGAGTAGTAAGTAGAAGAATTGTGAAAATAAATGTTTCGTATCTTTTCGTTCTAAGCTTTCTTCTTCATTAATGTTCTTCTAAATCTAATAGAAAAAAATACAAATCTCTCTTAGTTAGCGTGATTGTCATGTAATTCGTTAAATTCCCCAATACCATGCCAATTCTTACTCTTTGAACTTTGAATTTCAAATTCTTTTGACGTGTGTGTGCTTCGTGGGCATGTAGGGTTATCGTCATTAATAATTTACTTACAATTTTCATGTATCTAAGTGTAAATTTAAGCATTTTATCTGCATCAACGCGAATTTTTGTTATTTGAAGGTATAGATTTCACATAAAATTTTAGTTTAAACTCAATGTATCCTAACCTCAAACTTTCGTTTTGTGAATGTTGATTGTGCTATTTACTCTGTAAGCTTGAGTTTTTGATTGTGTAGATGATCGCGAAACAAATATAAGCTGTAAATTTATTCTTACAGTTTTATTAAGAAGCGAACATGAGTCGTTTCTTTGCGACTGGTACGGATTCTGAGTCCGAAAGCTCCAGTGAAGAGGAGCAGGTAGTTCGTGCACCAGCTCCCGTCTATACTGTGAGTATATCTTCAAATACTTGAGACGTACATGCCACCGCTATTTTTTCGTATTGATAGTAAAATCTGAACAAGTTAAATTCATTGAATAATAATTTCACATTTTAAAGGTCAACTATTAAAAATTCACAGTTGCATCACTTTATCTTTTTGTATTTTATAATCTCTTTTTTTAATTTTCAAATAGAAAATTGCAGTGTATTGATATCTAATAGTCTATCATTACTATTGATGTGGGAAATAAAAAACTTGGGTTGATTCTTTCTTGTATTTGCATTGAAATTGAATATAAACTAAACTATCCGATTTACACAAAAAATCTTGACAGATTTTTGTACATTTCATTAACTATAATAATAATTTACAATAATTATATTAACATTAGAATTCTTTTCTTATTTCATTCAATTACAAACTAATTATCAACTTTGTGTCTGCTATGACTTTCATCATCATGATGACTTTATTCTGCCCACTACAGGACATGGGCTTTCCCCAATGCCTTTGCCAGACTGCGGTCCTCCACTTTGCATATCTATGACTGTGAATAATTGATTTCTAGAAAATTTATTTAATTTTTCATAACCTTTGAACAACTAGAGGCCTATCAATATTTAACATTTGCAGTTCAGTGATGATGAGGAGGAAACTAAGCGTGTTGTGCGCTCTATGAAAGAAAAAAGGTACGAAGAATTGGAAGGTATAATCCATTCAATCCGTAACCATCGCAAGATCAAAGATTTCTCTTCAGCCTTAGCTTCTTTTGAAGAACTGCAAAGGGCATATACTCGAGCAGCTCCGGTAGTCCAAAAAGAAGAAAATGGTATTGCACCGCGGTTCTTTATTAGAGCTTTAGTAGAATTAGACGATTGGGTTGCCGGCGCCTGGGCAGATCGCGATGCACGGAAGGCCCTGTCCAAAGGCAATAGCAAAGCTCTAACATCTTTACGTCAGAAGTTAAGAAAGTATGAAAAAGATTTTGATGCAGAGATAACCAAGTTCCGCGAAAATCCTGATTTACCTGATGATGATGAAGAGCGAAAAGGTAAGCTATTAGTTTAAGTCAGGGAATAGTTCATGATTATTTTTGCTATAACTTGGTATTCAAACTGTTTTGTTTCTTAGATACATCATCATCTGATGAGTCTGATGATGAAGACAAGATCAAGGAGAAAGTTCGAGTACGTCGTTCTCCTGAACCTCCGCGTCGCCCTCCTCCTCAAGATGATGAGTCCTCAGACTCTATGGATTGGGGGTCAAGTTCTTCAGACTCCAGTTCAAGTTCGGATGACGAAGCCCGCGGCGCGGCCACCTTGAGGGAGCGGTTCCTTAAGAAAACCACTGAGAGGGATGATGATGAGGAAAGAGACAGGCGCCGCGCGAGGAGGGAAAGACGTGAGAGGGGAGCTGGTAAGATCAGCAAGAGAGATCAAACTGATGATGGAGGTGAATGGGAAACTGTGAGAAAGGGGGCAGCTACTTCGGATAAGCCGAAAATGTTCGCCAAGGTATTTATATTATTTTAAAATGTTTCACCTATGATTATTACCATTTTTAATGCACCATTATCAAATTTACTTATTATTTTAGGACAGTGACATTGACGCCGCTTTAGTAGTGAAGAAACTGGGAGAGATAAGTGCAGCTCGTGGCCGCAAGCGTACCGATCGTCGCGCACAACTTGAGTTACTGCACGAACTGCGCACAGTCGCTCAACAACACAACTTAGGTGACGCCCTTCAACTTAAGCTGCGTGCCGCCACTGTCGCCGCGTTGTTTGACTACAACCCTAAAGTCTCTGACGCCATGAAACCTGAATATTGGTCTAGATTGGTGGAGAATGTCGACCATATGGTGACTCTCCTTCTAGCTCATGAAGAAATGCAACTGAGTGAGACTATTACTGAGGAAAATGAAGAATTCGTAACTGCCCCCTTCCGTGTACGTGGTTGTGTTTTGACAGCTTTAGAACGCCTCGATGACGAGTTCACTAAACTGCTGAAGGAGTGTGATCCTCACTCAAACGAGTATGTGGAGAGACTTAAGGATGAAGTCCGCGTCTCCGCGCTCATAGACCGCGTGTGCCTAGTTGTCGAACGCGATGGATCACCGCAGGAAGTTTGTCGCGCTTATTTGCGTAAAATAGACCATTTGTACTATAAATTTGATCCACGCGCGGTGAAAAAAGACTCTCCTCCCGGCGAGGAAACGACCGTTAAGAAAATGGAGCGTCTCTGCAAATATATTTACGCGCACGACGAGACCGATCGTCTGAGGACTCGCGCTATTTTGTCGCACATCTATCACCACGCTTTGCACGACAACTGGTTCCAAGCTCGCGATCTTCTCCTCATGTCTCACCTGCAAGAGACAGTCCAACATTCCGACCCGAGCACTCAGATCTTGTACAATCGGACCATGGCTAACTTAGGACTCTGCGCTTTCCGCCGCGGCAACGTGAAGGAAGCGCATGGATGCTTGGCGGAGTTGATGATGACAGGTAAGCCGAAAGAGTTGCTCGCTCAAGGTCTGCTGCCTCAGCGTCAGCACGAGCGCTCCAAGGAGCAGGAGAAGATAGAGAAACAGAGGCAGATGCCGTTCCATATGCATATTAATCTTGAACTACTGGAATGCGTGTATTTGGTATCTGCGATGCTGATTGAGATTCCATACATGGCGGCCCACGAGTTCGATGCGCGCCGTCGTATGATCAGTAAGACGTTTTATCAAAATCTGCGCGCAAGCGAGCGACAGGCGCTGGTGGGGCCGCCAGAATCCATGCGAGAGCACGCCGTGGCAGCAGCTAGAGCGATGCGCCGCGGGGACTGGCGAGCCTGTCTTAACTTCATTGTTAATGAGAAAATGAATGCTAAGGTACATAATTCGTTCCTACAAAATATTTTTTTGTTAATATTAATATTTCTTAAAACATAATGCATATATTTTTATTACAGGTTTGGGATCTTATGGTTGGCGCCGACAACGTCCGTGCAATGCTCGGTCGTTTAATCCGAGAGGAATCGCTCCGCACTTACTTGTTTACGTACGCGCACGTATACGCGTCGCTGTCACTTCGTTCGTTGGCTGACATGTTTGAACTGCCGCGTCAACGTGTTCATTCCCTAGTGTCGAAAATGATCATCAACGAAGAATTGTTGGCATCTCTCGATGATCCTAGCGAGTGCGCCATATTGCATCGTTCAGAGCCAACTAGGATGCAAGCTCTCGCGCTTCAACTTGCCGATAAGGTTAGTTTTTTAGTACATATAACTCCCACAAACTTTAATGCTTGAAATGTTTTTGCAATTGCTTAACCAAATCAAATTTGTATATGCCGATTCTCATTTATGTTTTAATGGCATATTTTTAGCCAAGATAATGTATAATTTTAATTTTTAGGTTGGTAATCTGGTTGATTCCAACGAGCGAATCTTCGAGAAGCAAGGCTCCTTCTTCCAGAGGGGCGGGGCAGGTCGCGGTGAGGGTCGTCAAAGAGAACGTCCTCGGGACGGCTGGGGACGTAGGCAAAGGAATCGCAGACGCGACGACGAACGCGGACACGACGATTAACCTCTACATGAGTGGAATAAAACCCGTGCAGTGTACCACAAACTCTATAGTTCACATTCACTTTGCGACGGTTGTAACGGTTTTGCTTGTTGCATTTAACTATTTACTTTCTAGAGACCATAATACCTCTCTTATTATTTTCTTAATTCAACAACTTATCGTTACAACCGTCGCAAAATGAGAAAATCAGTGCTTGATTGCAAAATCTATTAAAAAATCAAAAATACGATAACTTCAAATCTGTTCAATTAAACATATTTTCATGGCAGAAATTTTATATACCATGTTGAAAGTTATAGGATAATTTATTGCAAAACATCTTCTTTATTGCTACTCTAAACCATACATTATTCATATTCAGTTTTGTAGTAAATGTATTACGGAAAATAAAAATGTCACAAAAATACTTTATTTCATTCACATCTTAACATTCAACTTTGAAATATTGTGGAAAATGCAAGCACTGGAGAATTAAATTGATTCTTATGAATAATTCTTTGGGTAGGTAATTCTCTTCCATATGAGAGGAGTCTGAAATATCACTGATCACTGGAGTTCGAAAACAGGTTGGACGATCAAGGTTTTTTAATCGCTAAGTGAATGTTTCCAAAGTTATAAAATGAAACTTAAGCGTTTTGTAACTTTCTCAAACCCAGTGCAAGTGTTTCGATTTAGTTGTATAGTTAATTATAATAAATTGGATCCATCCTTAAATTTCCATGACTGGATCACGCTATGCCAGTACAGTTGGACAATAGCGCTCAATGTCAGCGCTGCCATAATGTACTCATTCTGACGGCAGTGAACATGCCAAGATGTGTAGAACTGTAACTAAAAACGCGGTTTTGCGGTTATAGAATTACCGTGTTTTATTTTTAATAATCTCAACTACTTTGTCGAACTTATGACGATTCCTCTGCTTATACTGGGCTGGCATTATGAAAAACACTTGCGTATAATCACTCTATGCCAGGTCATCGCTACCGTGTAATTGTACTGGAATAATGTAAACCATACATTGTTTTCTAAATAATCATAGTAATATGCGAAAGTTTAGATGGATGGATGTTCTATGAAATTTGGCATAGACGTAGAGGAAGAGGATAGTCTGGAAGGCCACATAGGCTACTTAGTTTTTTTTTTTTTTTTAAACTCGACGCGGACGGAGTCGCGGGCGAAAGCTAGTATTCAATAATTTTTTGGACAAGAAAAAATCGATTAGTAACAAGTAGCCAAAGTGTAATTTTTAGCGAATATCTTATTTAATCTGTAGAAGTATGAACGAAAATGAATGAATAATTGTCGAATGAAATGGACGATATCACTGACATTTTACTGAGTCATATTTTCTGATATACGAATTATGTTGTTGGGTCGAATTGCATTTACTGCCGATAATTACTAATTTTGTAAAATACTTTCCTCGTCACCATATTTTAGTAAAATAAAATTAAAATGGCTGCTACAAGGAGACTTCAAAAGGTAAGTTGCTGACTATCGAGTGTAACATTGACGAATTCTAATTGAAAAAGATGTACAAAAGTAGAGCCCGATTACTGAGTTTTTATATTGATATCTTATTTGGAGTATCACCATTAGGTACTTTTAGAAAGCTTTCTCGTAAATGTATTTAAATAACCTCTGAATTTTCAATTTATGATTGTTTTCCAGGAGTTAAACGACATCAGACAATCGGGATTGAAATCATTTAGAGACATTCAAGTAGATGAATCTAATATTCTTACATGGCAAGGCCTGATTGTGCCCGTAAGTAAAAAAAATGAAACATAAACAGCCAAAATAGCTTTTCCAAAATATCCAATAAGAATGTTTTCTTTCAGGACAATCCCCCTTACAACAAAGGTGCCTTTCGTATCGAGATTAACTTCCCAGCAGAATACCCATTCAAACCTCCCAAGATTAGTTTCAAAACAAAAATCTACCATCCCAACATTGATGAAAAAGGTCAAGTGTGTTTACCCATAATTAGTGCTGAAAATTGGAAACCAGCTACCAAGACTGATCAAGGTAAATCAGTTGTACCTCTATATTGTCACTATTTTATGGATAACCTTAATTTGGTATGTTTTTAATGTCTAAAACATGGTCAGAGTACTTATGTGTGATATAAGTAAGATCCAGAAAGAACTAGAACACTAACCTACAATGTGTAACATCTTAACTACATTAAAAGATAATGGAGTTTTGTGCAGAGAGATTAATATTTAGTTTCTGTTGCACTTATTAAAAACTTATTATTATTTCATGATTGCAAGTTTAAAATAGTTACATAGCTCACACTTGACAGCCTTAAAATATTCTTTTCATAGTTAACACTAAAAAAAAATCTTTTCAGTTATCCAAGCTCTGGTCGCCCTTGTAAATGATCCAGAACCGGAGCATCCATTACGAGCTGAGCTTGCAGAAGAATTCCTAAAAGACAGGAAAAAATTCACAAAGAATGCGGAAGAATTCACCAAGAAACATAGTGAAAAACGGCCCACTGACTAATGTAGCCTAATTCAAATTTCTTTGACTTTACAATGGTAAATGGCATTTTCAGTATGAAACAAGTATTTTAACTTATGTGTGCATTTATCCTATAAACAAATCTATCCCTTCTTCACTTGTTTAGAATGAATTCATTCACTAGTGTAAAGTTAAAGGTTTTTTTCATAAGGCTAGGTAATGTTACTCCTCAATCACAGCTTGCAATATGCACCTTACTGTAAGTAATTTAAAACAAGCAAATTCATATTGGCCAAATAGAAAAGCTTAAAATCTTAGCTATGTTTTTATTCTCTGGTCATTTAAGTTTTTTTTTTAATTGCAAGAATTAATTGCTTATGTTGTGGATTTTTATTTATACTAGAACCATTGTGGAATTAAACCTGACTCATTTGAAGTTAATTTCTGTTACCAAATCAATTTACAAGTCTTATGAATTTATTAAATAACACAGAACGGAAGAACTAGCTTTGTTTATGATCTTGTAAATAGGTGTCATAATAGAATTTGATTAGTATGAACAATTTCATTTAATCAATTTGTGAATTATTGTTTCTGTTTTATTATGAACTCAATAACTTAATTTATTTGTTACAGGTAATGTTGCATTACCTTACAAAGCAATAATTATATATTTTTCTGACAATAATCTGCTACAGTTGCGTTAATACTGAAACATCAAAGAAACTAGTTCAGCTAAATTGGCTATAATCACAGATATTGTTAGTGTGTCCATTCTTAAGTTATAATCTTGTATTGAACAATTTAATGAGAGATTCTAAATACATTTTTTCCACTTATTTCATTGTTTTTGTTCAGATCTGTACAATAACCAAAAAGGTAGGATATATTAAGTAAAAAGAAAAAAAGAAGTAATATTAAAAAATATGTCATACTTTTTATTGAACTAGGCCTAGTTGGCGTCACTTAAAATATCAACAATTTTTTATCTTTAACAATTACTGTATTTCATTCTTGAAAATCATACACATCTACAGTCTTGTTGTCTTTTTCAGGTAACATCTGTACTTTGGTAGGTTTCAGTCTTGTATCCTTCTCCAAATCACTACCTTCTAACACTTGTCCTTTTTGCACACTCGTAAGTTTGTTGTCCACTGTCAATTTGAATCTCCGATTCCTTATCCTATTTTCTCTTTGCGGCAAAACAGTTGTTTCTTTATCAAGAATTTCTAAATTATCTGTAAAAGAAAAGTAATGTTTTTAACATATTTATTTATCTAACATTTAAGCACTGAAGTGTGTTGATTATTATCATAATTGTATTAAATTATTTTTTATTAACAAAATCTAAATATGTTTACTTACATTTTATTTTTTCAATACATTCACTGAGATACTGTTCAGTATTTCGATCTTTTGTAAGACTAGGCTCTATGAGAATCTTATAATCAGGTCCATATTGAGGCCAATCATCATGTTCTGGAATATCATCATCTAAATTAACTCCTGCGGCTACAGCTGTAAGTTTTGTCCATAGTCTTGCCGCATTAGGGTGGCTATAACCTCCTGAAACCATGTTAGAAACAAACAACTCAATTTTATGTCATTCTTGTGAGCCAGACAGGTAGGCAGAGATCAAGAATTTCTATTAGCAAAGTGATGGATCATTAAAAATGGTAACAGTAAAAAAAAAGGGTATTTTGCATACCTCCACCTAGTAAAAGTAAAGGTTTCTTTTTAGCCAGCACTTTGTTGAGACATGCAGTGTAACCCTTTTCAGTTAAACATGCTCCACCATTGGGATCACCTACTAAACCATCAGCACCACACTGCATTACTATAGCGTCTGGATTGAATTTTGAATACACTAATGGAAAAACACTGAAAAAAATCTACTGTTATTTATGTAATTGCTGAAACAAGTAAATGGAATAAACCCTTTTCTTTTACAAACTATATGATGACTTTTTGTGCATCTTCTTTGCTGTTGTGGATCATGCAACATGACAGCATTTGTGGTTGATTATGGACAGTGGTACGCAAAATACGCGCTAGTCGTGGAGTTGCGGAAACCGTAGCCCCTACTACTACTACTATGGACAGTGGTCGCTTCCCTATTTTGGCGAAACTTGGTGGCCCCTTGGTTTGCCACCTTATGCAAAATAATACATCAAAGTTTGGTCAATCAGTATTATACTAGTTTTATTATAATATTGTTACTTACATTCCAAATGCCTTTTCTAGAGTTTTATCTGTGTAAAATGCATGAAGTGGAAAATTGCATGAATAACCTTTGCCACTAGAACTGCCTATGTCATCTATGCTGCCTGATCCAGGATAGAACCCAGGCTCATATTTATGGAAAGATAAAGTGAATACTGATTTACTTAATTCGAAAGCATCTTGCACACCATTTCCTATAACAAAAAATGTTACTTTTGGTGTTTCTTAGTTCTTTGACTTTGCACAACTGGCTGGTATATATTTATATTCTTGCTTACCATGATGAACATCCAAATCTATGTACAATACTTTCTTAAACTTAATTCTTAACTTGTTAATAGCTATAACAATATCATTGACATAACAAAATCCTTTTGCTGCCAATCTTAAATAAAATAAATGATTATGAAAAAAATTGGTAATAAATGAAGAAATTCCTAACTTAATTACTCTTTAAGAAAATAAAAACAAAAGGTAACACCTATGTGCATGATGCCAGCCACCACACCAATTAATAGCCACATCTGTAATTCCGAGTAATAAACATTTTGCTGCAGTAACTGACCCTCCAGCTATAACTGACACCAGTTCATACATGTTAGATATGGGAGGGCAATCATAGCCTAAAAAAAGATTAAGTTAAATCAAAATAATAAGCAAATTAACAAAGTACCAAGAATAGTTAAGCCTTTTAAAATAAAAAATTCAGTGCATATAGTTTTATTGTTTGGCATTATTATATTTGTGTATGATTAATTTAATATTCAATACACCTATTCCATATTCCTCATCCTGCTCATTTGTCATATAGTCATCTTCTAATTCCTGAAAATGTTTTAAGTGATCCAAATAAGATTCTAAATGAAATTCCTTCAATTCGGCATAACTTGCTGGTGTAGAGCGAATAACTTGTAAACTGTTGTTTAGCTGATATGCTATTAGAAGATTATTTACCAAAGAAGCCTGGAATTACAAATATAAGCATATTTTAACCTTAGAATTTAACCAAGGTAATGTTGGTGGGAAAAGCAATCTAAAGCTCACCCTAGTGGGGACGGCTGGTAGACGATCACATTGTGATATCAGAAGTGGATCCCAAATATAACACGGTTTTCTAATACTCATTTTCTTAGAACTAGATGATTTTAACGTGGAAATGAAGTTAAAGGATAGTCTTATTAATTAATCGCCGTGAAGTACATTTTTAAATTGAATTATTAGAAACAGGTACTAAGCAGTTATTTTATTTCGCATCTTATATTAAATTAATTTTAAACAACTTGTTTTTACTGAAAATCAAATGTCAAATTGCCGCGGTTTATCGATGATCTAAAATTGATATTGACATTTGACATCACGAAGTAAAAAAATTAAAAACAGGCTTGTTATAATATAATGAAAGTTCCCTGTAAAATTCTTTCCTCTTCTTCATTTTTATAAAAAGCTATAAAACGAAACTGGTTTATTAATTTTATTACTATATTGATACTTACAGAAAATTTTGACATCAAGATTGTTAAAAATAATATAACAGAACACAGTAAAGAGGAACGTGCCAAGTAGACCAGCGATAAAGAGAATTTTGTCTATGAAGAAATAGCGTCCATTTTCTGAGTTTATAAGATTAGTTTGACGTTTTATATAGAAAAGCTAAACTAAAATGAATTAAAAATCATTGAATGAGTGCAAAAGTAGGAATATAATGCAATTCAATCTTAACCGTAAAAAAGATGTTGTTAATATCGTGATATCAGTATCATTATTTATTCTTGTTTCATCAATCATAATAGTGATATGACAAGGTCTATTACAAAATATTTGTAACGTGAATGTAGTTAGTGGATTTGCTTGTGTCTGGTTAGGTAAACTGGTTAATCGATGTTATTCTATGATTTGTCGTCACTGATTTTCAAGTTCAAGTGGAAATGGTTCGAGGTTAGTAAAATTTCCAATAATAACCTATAACGGATGCAGTGAATTCCTTTTTCAAGTCTTTGTTTGCGTCTACCCCCAATAGCCAATGTTAAAATCTGAACTATACATTCATTACAATTCTCTAACTTTGACTCTTATGTTCTTGGTGCTGCTTTATTTAACTAACTGTCAGAATAATTAAATTTTTGCGAATATGGCGGCAAATTGCTTCCCATAACTAAAAATTGACTTGATTTAATCTCTAATGCAAAATGATTTCTAAGAAGTAATTAATTATCAAATTACCTTTACCTCATTAAGTTTATTTAACATCAACCAGTCCTTTTTCTTAAGGAAGGTTAGCTCAGTATTACTCTTGCCCTGCTATACATATATCCTTTTGAAGTTTATTATAAGACAAAAAAGTTAGAAAGCCAACGCATATTTTGTATAAAAAAAATAATTATATTTACAAATTAATCCAGCCTTGCAAGTGTAGTTTTTTTTCTCCAGACATACATAACAATGTCAAATATTGGTTATAATTCAGTCAACAGGCTAATGGTGGAAGCGGAAGGGGCTGTCATGACTCCCCACCGTATTGAACTATGTGAAAAAGAATTACTTAGACCAGTACGAAGCTACAGAAGTCGAAGGTAAAAGTTTTATGATTTACAACTTTCTATATCACATTACTAATTAAAAAAAAATTATGTACTTTCCAGTAAAAACATTATTATATTTTCAATCTAGTTAATTTTGCTGTTAAAAATGTGTGGTATATATGAGGGTATCTTAATATAATGTACCGTCCGGTCACTAATAATAAATCAGTCCAGTACCAACCGCCGTTTCATTAACACACCTACATTACATTGGCGACGAGGATTTTAATTTTATTAGTGAACCCGAAAAGTATTTCGAGAAGAGGACGAGCGTCTCCTCAATAAGTGGACGACAATGTTTACGTCACAAGGAATATCGTAAACATTGCGATGTTAAATACGCATATTCAAACAAAGGTTTGTGTGCGGTTGTGCGAGCGGAGTGCGTCACGACGTCGGGAGCACGGGACGTCCGAGGGGTGTGACGGCATGAAAAGGATGAAGAGGTTCGTGGGACCTATGGTCAACCGCATAAATTACGGTGGAGACGTCGGCGGTTGTGTCGGTGGAGAACGGGCGCAGTGCGGAAGCAGCCGGGAGCAGCGGCGGGCATGCGGCGCCGGCGCAGGGACTCGGACAGAGCGCAGCCGGCCAGCAGCGATAGGCATGTCCTGCGGCGGCGGAAGTGGCAGAGCGCTTGCTGGTGCAACGGGAGGAGTATCCCAATGTTAAGTGTGGCACACGGGTGCAAAATGGGACATGTAGCCGATAGTTTTGCGGAAGATGTGTGCGGTAACGGATATTTAATTGAACATTAAGATTCGCACAATTATTTTTTTGTTAACGGGCTATGTGTAAGTGCGAGCGGGACGGCCGCATAGCATTTGCCG